TTTTTCGTCCATATATATACTTCTGTTCCCCGTTACCTGAAGTGTCTGTGAAGTTTAGGGTTTAATAAACCCTCAAAGATTCAGACTGCTGGTTTTGGTCTTGGGGTGCGACACGGAAAACATGAATGAGCTTGTGTGTCTAAAATGCAGTTCAAAGTTGAATCTGTTTACCGGTCCCTGTAGAAGAGGAACTTTTATCTGTCCTTCTGTAGGCACCAGCTTACCATTTCTTCATGTGTAGCTGTTATAAGAGCATGCATACAGATGAGTTCTTAGATGTCTGATAGCAATTTACTTACCCAAAGATCCCATTTGCATGTGACAAAGTAGATGCATATAAACTCTGGGTTTCATTTTATGCTTACATTGAGCCTTCAAGTGACTGCTGCTGAGCACATCCTTGGAATAACAAGCAGCACTTGCAACTTCATCCCCTAGAAGTTTATATCATTTCTGCTGGATTAACACTGTGGAAAATTACAGGGAATATGATCATATGGTCTACGTTTGGATGAGTACCGAAAGGAATGGACAGCGATAAAGAATGTATGATGCAATGATGCTACAGCTCTTTTGGCTAAAATCCTGGGCCACTAAATGAAGTAATGTTTCTGTGTGTTATTAATGAAGCTGTTATTTCACCCTCAATGTTCACCCATAAGGTCGATCCAAACAATCTCGTCAGACCTGTGGCTGAGCACAGCTCCATGGCCATTTCTCTATGTCCTCCCTTTCAACCCCATAGAATGGTTGAAATGATATGGCTAAGTTTATACTTCAGTCTGTTTTGACCAGCATCTTGCAATACCAGTAGTTTAGGGCAGACTGAAACATTTGTCGACTGAATTCATCATACCTTGAGCATGGCTTGCATTTGACCCCTTTGTAATAAACTAATCCAGAGCTTCCACATGCTCTCATGGTTATCTACAGTACAATAACAAAGATTTTTTTTTGCATCAAGTCTGCTTGAATTTAGCCATGGAAGATCTGCTTTAGGTTTTGTTTCAATGTTTTCAATTAATGGATACAACCAAACTTGACAGAAATGCAGGCTGTGAGGTGAAGACCCCGTCCTAGTTGTATACTATCTTTAGGCAGCAGAAAGCAACTGCAAACCACATAACTGAAGAGGATTACTTGTCCATTCACAAAGAATGGGAAGAGGAAACTTGCTACACCAAAATGTTTCAAAGTATTTGTGTTGCATGTTATGTCACACAACTGTGTTCACTAAATTAAAAGACAGCCATTACATAGTACAGATCTGCGACATACCTGGAGGCAATGCAAGATGACTTATTCTGATATGTTTCTAAAAAAAAGGAAGTCTGAAATGGTTAAGGAAATAAACATGCTTTCATGTACAAAAATATATGTAGATAATTGTTTTCAATCTACATGGGAAATGAAAAAAAGTTTCAGATTAGATGATCAACGTCCCTGACTTTGGTTATTAGGAGGTATTTTTCTTCCTAAGTGTGGGATGAAACAGGTAGCGATTAACTATATTCCAGTTTATTGCTAATGTATAGGAGCCTGGCAAAAACAAATCTTTGAAATGGCATAATCTATATCTAAAGCCAAAGTGCAAGCAACAATCAATTATATTTTCATTCTGAGGATGCTTGAATAGAAGACTGAATTGTTTGCTGATGAAGGGAAATGAGGAAACTATCATTTTAAAGAAAATTTTTGTTTGCCACCAGCTTTGTTTGTTTTGAATTTGGATTTTTGCCCCTATTTTTCTGACACTGGAGAGTAGATCCAGTCAGTATCTGAACTTATTGCATAGCCAAATCTGTAATTATTATAATACAAAATAATATAAGTAGCAATATCAAGTCCTTTACAACTTGATTAGGAGCAGATCAGGAATTTTCTGGTGAAGTATTTTTCTTCTTGGAAAAGGCAGATGTGCTGACACCTGATATTTTCTCAAGTAAAATACCTCTTCCAGTGAATGGTCAAGAAAACAAAAATCTGTGATGGAACTCCTGCGTGCCTGCTGGGAGTGTGAGGACTCCTGGATTTGTTGCTCAATGGAAGGCTTACATGGAAAACAGCCTGAGAGCAAAAGGCTTGATAGCAACACTGAGAGCCTCCTCCTGTGTGACATGGCCAAGAGACTGGCAAAATACCAGTCCCAGCTCCCAGAGTCTGACTCAGCTGTAAGATCTGGATGTCTGCAGGCTCCCATCTCTCCCACTCAGTCCACTGGGACGGCACGTTAAAAAACATGAATTATGATCAGAAATGTTCTTTAGAATGTAGACATCACTCCCACCCATTACAAGCAGGAATAAGTGGGACCATTTAACTAAAAGAACCACATGCAGAAACATTATCTACTGTGTGTTTAAATACTTTCCTGGAGATGGACAATTTCAACCATTTTATGAGTTCTCCCATTTTGCATTACAACTGAAATTCTACATTTTTTGACTACCCATATAAATTAGAGAATACAGTAAATAATGCCATTGCTCTTTGATCACATCACAGAAAAGATAGCTTCTGACAGCTGTGTAGCTCTCTGCCTGCTGTAGTTCTTAAAATGTTTCACAGGGTTGGCAATGTAACCCAAATAATTTTAATTAACTAAAAGCAGACTAATACATAAATATCTCAGAAGTAAAACAAAGGCATATGTGATCATCCCCTGTGTATCCCAGGCTTTTCACATTTTGCAAATTGTATGCTCATGCCGGTATGTCAGCTCATCAGATAACAAAATTACCACATAAGGTAATTCTGTTGTAAACTGAATTTTTCACTTTTCATCAAACTAAGTTAAAAAACCCCTGACAGCTGGAGGGTATAATAGCTCATGGAACCTCTGTGCTAAAGCATCTAACAGTTTCCCAAACCAAACTACACATCTTGCTGGATTGGGGTTTGAATAAATTCATGATTGCCAGAACCCATCTGTGTAGTCATACTCTAGATCATGTCCATTCTTTGCCCTTCAAATGCTGTTAAACTAGGGAACTAGGGTAGAAAGAAATGTTCCCTGCAACACAGGATAATGCAGTTGTAGTCAGTGGAAATGCTGGATCCTCCATGGTATGAAGAATGTATATTTTAAATTAAATGAATTGATGCAATATTTACATATGTAAGAAAAAACTAGCCTAGCATGAATAATTTTCCCTCTGAGTAAGAATGTGCAAACCATCTTCACAGACAATACCCTGAGCCTTTAAAGCCATTTGAATGCTCTATTATTTATTATTAAACCCTTTGAGAACTGATACCTTCTCCTCCTTACTCAAAGACTTTCAACAGAGCAATGCTGCTCTCAAGCGTGTACTATGGCTCTGACCGTTACTAAGGTGACAACAGGAAATGGCATTAACACGTCATCATTGTTTCAGTTGTCATAATTTCTCCATATCTCTATTGACATTTCTGTGTTTTAACTTGGTTGCTGGGTTGACACTGGCCTACTGTAGAAAGAAAAAACTGGTATGTAATCTCCTTTTACCTTATACTTGATCCATTCAGTGTTATTTCAAGGCACTATCAAAGACATTATGTGCTTGTCCGTTGTTAAGGATCATTGTTTCACAAATACTCCAAAGTTAAGAGTGAAACATCAGAATCAGTGCTACTCTTTTTTTGTTTGATTATTTATCTATTTATTTATGTTTGGTTGGTTGGTTTCTTTTTGTGACTGTAACAGTCCAATAGATAATATCACACAAAGAGTATGCAGGAGAGAGAATGAGCACACGGTCATTTCATGGGTTTGGAAAGGTTGAAAGGAGTTTCAGTTTTACCATTTTAATTTTGACATCTGCAAACATTAATGAGCATAGTATGCATGGTTCCTCAGAAGGAAGAGTAGACTTCAAGATTAGCACTGTCTCATTAATTTCATTTATACTCTGCACCCATCCTGCATTTGGCAGACTTTTCCAAATAATGCTACCAGAGTACAAAATTATATAAAATGAGGAAAGGAGTGGTTCAGTCAATAACTGAAGTCACCACTGGCTGAATATAATGTTACTTATAACACACACTCAGGTATTCTATCAGGTCTCTATTCCAAGCAATTGATATTCACTATAGCTTGGGCATAGTGTAGTCAAGAGACTTAGAAGGATGTTAACATTTCATTACTCATGACATTGATTTTTTTCTGCTTTCTTCACAACAAAAGTCAAAACGTGACCTCTTATTCCACTGAATTAGTTCCAGAGCACTTGGCATTATTGACCTCCTAATGAAAATTAATGATGGCTCTTTTGATTCAGTCTTTCAAGTAGGCACACCAAGCACATTTAAGAAACAGACACATTTATTTCTTATATTGAAATGAAATAACACACTGTTAAGTAATGAAATGTACATTAATGCAACATTAAATTTGCAAATTTAAGCACACAGAATTCAAACGATTTAAACTTCATTATAAGGAGCTGATGCTGCAAAGATTTAAGCTTGGCAATAATTTCAGACCTGGAAAGCCAATGAGTTTTACAAGTGAAGCTACACATATGCTTAGAACATATCAGCCCCAGGCCCTAAATTTATTGTAAAAATCTGTCAAGACTAAAATGTTTTTTCTATGCAGCAGAAACAGCTGAACATTATGTTAGGTATTTCCATGCTTTTCTTTTCCCTTTTAAGCTAGAGAAGAATTCAAATTCTTTTCAGCAACTTTTTTCTTCTGTGCTCACAAGCTGTCACCCCACAATTGAGTGGATTTCCTTCATATGGAGCCTTACACAAATGTCTATGAACAAACTGACTTCAGTCTAGGGATATGGATCCCTTCTCCCCTGCATCTGTGTAAACAAGGATTGCCTCTACCAGGTGAAACAGAAAAGGTGAATTAATTCATACCTGGAGACTCATTCAAACTTTGCCATTTTATCTAAGCAGTTTCCTATTCCTGGGGAATTGTCCCAGAAATAATTCCTGGAGAATTATCTAGGAAATCTGCAGGAATAATGAATAAACTAACTTAATTTCTTCCTCTCTTTCGTCAGACAACAAAGACTATGATGCGTATCTATCTTATACCAAAGTGGACCCTGACCAGTGGAATCAGGAAACTGGAGAAGAAGAAAGGTTTGCTCTTGAGATTCTACCAGATATGCTTGAAAAGCATTATGGATACAAGTTGTTCATACCAGACAGAGATTTGATTCCCACAGGAAGTAAGTCTTTATGTGTGTGTGATTCCTACACAACAAATGCAGTGATTGCAATGACGGGTTTAGTATCATTTCTATACCTACCTCTTCAGAATGTCACCTTTCCTCCTTTGTCTTAGAGAATGGTGCAAATAAGCCAAACATACGTAATGTGTATTTCCCAGATAAGAGGATTATTTTTTAGTAATTGTATTATATTGATTGAAGGTGAGAGTGAAGAAAGGGCACAAGTAAGAAGTGCACAATAGTAAAGGAAATGAATGAGGCTAGCATTTTTCCACAGATTTGATAGGTTGCATATCCAGGAATGAAAACAGATGTCTTTGTTGTCTGTTCGTTAGAGTTTGCCTGGAAAGGTATCCGTGATTCTAAGTATTTATTTCAGAAATTCAGACAGGAAAGAAAAAGTTATGTTTGGACTAAAGCAAGGGTTGAGTAATACTATCTACACAAGAACCAAGTAGTGAATTTTGTTAGTGTTCACTGCAGAGGAATGTGTAGTGGAAGTACAGTGCAGTGAATGTGTAGTGGATCATTCTCAGAGACTTAAAATTAAACTTGATTCCAGCTAGTGCAAGTAGACCATTTTCATGTTTCTTCACACATTACAACCTACATACAGTAATTTTTTGTAAGTTGCTGTAGTATTCTTCACAACTTCAGTGTAACTATGTAGACATCGGTATCTTTTCCTAAAGATCAGAAAGGTTGCTTGGTACAGGCAAAGTACAACATCAAACAATTGCATGGATATTGTTAAAATCTACAGCAAACTAAACATGAATTTGCAGGATACAGCACTTTCTTTGTGAATGCGGGTGGGGGACCATGAAAGGTAAAGAAGAATTTCTAATAGCCTTTGAAGAAAGGCTATTAGAAAAGTCAGTAAAAAAAAAAGGGGAGGGGGGTTGTAACTAGATGATCTTTAAGGTCCCTGCCAACCCAAACCATTCTATGATTCTATGAATTTGACCCTATAGTACACCTTAGAATATCATTTACAATTGAGACTGAGGCCCTAAAGCACACAGTTGCTGCTCTGTTGCCTACCTGTGTGACTTCGCCTTTTTAAAGACAAAATGGTGATGGCCACACTTGTTGCAATAAGGATACAAATATTGATACAAAACCACAGTTCATAGACACTCACAATCCATAGGGCATGGGGAAATAGATGTTTTGCAGGATCACAGAATGGTTGTGCCTGGAAGGGACCTCTGGAGGTCATCTTGTCCAACTCAAGCAGGGCCACCTAGAGCAGGCTGCCTAGGACCATGTCTCGGCGTGTAAACCTGAAATGTTTGCAAGTGATGTTTATGCATATTACAGTGAGATCTTCCGGGAGCAGGGATCTGCCTCTCTTGTTTCTCCTCAGTCTATGGGAGCAGAGTGTTTTCTTAGATTGATTTTTGAGCAATTGTCTTATTTTGTAGCCTACATTGAAGACGTGGCAAGATGTGTGGACCAAAGCAAGCGACTGATCATCGTTATGACTCCAAATTATGTGGTAAGAAGAGGCTGGAGCATCTTTGAACTGGAAACAAGACTGCGAAACATGTTAGTCACAGGCGAAATCAAAGTGATACTGATTGAATGCAGTGAACTACGAGGAGTTATGAACTACCAGGAGGTCGAGGCCCTGAAACATACTATCAAGCTCCTCACTGTCATTAAATGGCACGGACCAAAATGCAACAAGTTGAATTCCAAGTTTTGGAAACGTTTACAGTACGAAATGCCTTTTAAGAGGATTGAACCCATCACACACGAGCAGGTTTTAGATGTCAGTGAGCAGGGGCCCTTTGGGGAACTGCAGACAGTCTCCGCAATTTCCATGGCTGCTGCCACCTCCACTGCTCTTGCCACTGCCCATCCAGACCTGCGGTCCACCTTTCATAACACATATCATTCACAGATGCGCCAGAAACACTATTATCGAAGCTATGAATACGATGTACCTCCTACCGGCACCCTGCCGCTTACCTCAATAGGTAACCAGCATACCTACTGCAACATCCCTATGACACTTATAAACGGGCAGCGGCCACAGACAAAAACTAACAGGGAGCAGAACCCGGAAGAGGCTCACACAAACAGTGCGATACTGCCCCTCTTACCACGGGAGACCAGTATATCAAGTGTCATTTGGTGACCGAAATGCAAGGGGACGTCAACCCCCTTGAGTAGGAGCTGAGCTTGCAGTCCCGTGCCTGGAACTACATCCTCGACTGCTGCTGTTAAACATGCATTACAATCGATAACATACGAGGAAAAACAGGGTCTTGTACATATGTTTTTTGCAATTTCTTTGTAGCATCAGTCTTCCTGTTTTACCCATGTCTCTTCCCATTCACATTTTCAACTTTGTTTTATATGTCATTGGAATTTGTATATTTACATTTTTTTAAATGAAGAGACTGCTGTATAGATAGGAAACTTTTTTGCTTCATTAGTATAGTTTTAGACTTTTTGTTTGTTTGTTTTTAACCTCTTTTGGGAATGCTTGGACAAAGCTATGTTGATATCAGAAGCACCATCCATTTTGTTGGCCTGCCTAGCCTGATTCCTGAAGGCCATGCCTGCTGCAGTTCACCTGTTTTGGAGAATATTTGTTCTTAGAAGGACCCCATCCCTCACTGCGAGCTCCACTTTCATTTCTACTCCCATAATGCACACTGCTCCATCCCTGCCCTTGCAGTGACCCCCATTTGGGGTAACACTACAGTCTGATCATCTAACATGTAACTTGGTAGATACCTGTCAATCAACAGAATATACCCAATCTGTATCGGTTGCTTCACAATAGTCACTACAGAGTGTATAGAAACTAGAGATGGTTTGGTTTTTGCTTCCTTGGGTTTAGTTTTTTAATTGTTATTTTAAGAATAAGTTGACTGTATCCCTTTTATAAATATAAAAACAAACCTTATTTTTAACACTTCCTGGAAAAGTATTAATGTGGTTGTGGATTTTATTTTTAAGTATTTAAATTTTTATTTCCCCCTTTCAAAATCCTGCAAATAAGATCATTTGCAAGTGTCAGGCAAGTAAGACAAGTGAGGCAATAGGCACTGAAGTGCAGAGAACCCCGCTGATATTTACAGTGATGACTTCCAAACCAAAGGGGAATAAAAAAGACAGTACTGTAGATGGTTTGTCACTTTGTATTATAGAAAGTGTTATTTTCTGAAAAAGTAAGAGCAAAACATTATTTTGCTGTGGATTACAGAGTCCCCTTGTATTTTAATGTTCCAAAACCTGTATTTGCTTTAAAATGATATATTCAGGATTAAGAATTCTTCCTTCATTTGGTTTTAGCTTGTAATTATAAGTAAAACTTTATTAATATCAACGTGATTTCAGTAAGAACTCAGGCAGACAAAAATGACATGAATACCAACAAATATAATTGTTTTCAGAATAAACTTTATTTATACAAAACTAATATTTAAATCAGACCTGGAAGTATTAAAAACAATTTATTCACTTTAATGGATAAATAAATTAGTTTTATTTTTTATGTATGATTCTATCTTTGAGGAGTTGCAAGTAATGCGTCCAGACCATGTCTGTCAGGGAAGAAGAAAAAAACCAAAACAACACACTATGTTTACATCCAGGCGTCTTTAAGATGGATGAAATAAGCATCTTACTTGTACTTATGTTTTAAATAATGGAAAAGTCCTTTCTGGTTGTAGAAAGAGAGGAGTGGTGTGGTAGCTCCACAACGTATTTGGGCCAAGCTCTCTGCTAGCAGAAACAGAGGAGCTGGGGTCAAGTTACTGGTTGCAGCACACTGTCATATAATCATGGGTTTGATTTACCCTGGCAGAAATGTGAATGATATCCTGGCAAAAAGATCTTAAAATCTATTTATGTAATTCGTTATCTTGAGGTATTTTTATGGTAGCTGAACAATATTGGCCAATATAATGGATATGTGGCGTTTGTTCATCCTGATTGTCACAATGAGAAAAGTACAGCTTATAATATTTTGGTCTTAATGAGAAGTGATGGGTAGAGAGCAGGTAAACTGCAGTTTGGGGTATGTTTGTGGGAGTAATCCAAAACTGACAGTGTGGGAGGAAATGACTGTGCTCCTGTTGTGAAAGTCAAGAAATCTCAGTATCTGCATAACAAGCTAATAGAGCTTTGGGATGTGCACTGATTTTTATTTGCTTGAAAATGTTTATTTCTCTGACAATTTACCCAAGTCCTTTTCTACAATCTGTTCTTTATTATGGTGTCTTCCTCTGGACATGTGCCAAACATCCACAAAATGGAAATGAAGCTGCCAGACCACATAAAATTTTAAGAGAGCTTTGCACATTTGGTTATTTTCATAGTGTAAGAAAGCTCTTATCCACTTTCTCTTACAGACACCTGTCAGGCACTGATGGCATTTTCCTTCATTGATCTGGATGCCAAATACACCAGTGTCCTCTGAAAGCAATGCATTACTTTTTCCCCTTTCCCTCCCCTTTACGTGCCCTGGAGCAAAGTCTGGGATGTGGGATAAATGTAGGATATAACTACCGGACCACAGTCACATTTAGACGATCGGTAGGTGTTTCCTTAGCAACATGGGCAGTATTTTTCTCTTGTTCTATTTTTAGCGTAGATTTAAGCACTTTGAATAGCATGATTCAGGGATTGACGGATACTATTTGATATTCACACTACTTTAAAGAGAGGTTTTCTTATAATGTTTTGTCATAATATTACACAAAAGAAAAACAAACAAACAAAAAAAAGAAACAAACCACAAAACGAAACCTGAACTAAATGGAGAAGCTGTCTATGGCTTTAGAAACATTCCTCCTTAGTATTCCTCCTCTATGAACATCTCTGTGTGGGGAACAATGAAGGAAAGTTGTGTGTTCACGTGCTCTATGTTTGACGAAAGTTCTGTTGGAAAGCAAAATAAAAAAAAAACCAAAACAACAACCAAACCTGTCATTGCCCTAGTGTTTAGGCTCCATCTTTTTTTGGCGAAGGTATTGCAGATTTTGACAATGCAACCTGAAGTGTGCATGCAATAGCCACATATAAGGGTTAGCCATAAGCAAATAGCACTTTATTTTAAAAACTGCACAGTGTGATGATGAGAAAATCTTACTCAGCTTGGTCAATAACTTCGGGTCTGTATGTGGATTCTATGCACATGAATTATCCAAGTGTGGTGCTTTGTCTTCATAAGGCGCTCTCTAATCAGGGTAGTCCTTGATGTAAAAGTAAAGGACTCTGTTGCACAACCTGTGGAAATTTAGCATACAGGTTCTCCGGGCAGCACATATAACGAGACAGAAATGGGGGGTTGTACAGTATGCAGCTTATTATTTTGAATACAAAGTGCATTGCTGGGTCTGATTCTGTTCTCAGTTGCAGCAGTATGATTTCAGGGTAAATCTAATAAGTTGAATGAGTGCAAGATTGATTTGTGTGGGAGAAGAAAATTGGAAAAGCAAAGAGAAAAGGAGTTTATATTTGCAGTCTGAGACAAGCTGGAATCTTGGCCACAAGGAAAGCAGCAGCAAAATGTCTTCTGAATTTTAGTAAGGACCCAGTTCTCACCTGGCAGCCAACATCAAAATGATCTGTTTCAGAGCTAAATACTGTTCGGCTTAGATGCAAACTAAGATTTTTCTATTACTGCACAGCTGTGAAAACCATGTGTATGTTGCATAATGGGTGATAATCAGCATCAAAATAATTGGAAAGCTTGTTATACCCGCCTGATTAAAATTCACAAATTTTTACTTGGATATTGTGCATTAATGACACATTTAAATTATAGATAAAGCAATGAGATTTGTGGAAAAGTGGCCTGGTAAACAGGCTCCCTCCATTCTTAAATTAAAAAAAAAAAAAAAAAAAAAAGGAAGAAGAAAATGTCAAGCTAGAAATCCTAAGGAGCATTTAATTAAAATCCAAAGAAGAAAAAAAAAATCACAGCAGTAAAGTAAGCTCAAAAATAGGATAAAGGCCAATGAAGAAGAAAAGTCAAAATACCCACCTGCTTTTTGACTGTACTGGGGCTTTTTTTCCCCTGCAAAGCTCTGTACTCTGGCTGACCTACATCAAGCAACTGACTTTTTGGGGGGCCCATCCAGACAGATCAGTAACACAAATGTGTCCCTGTATGTCTAATACACTTCTGAATGATTCTGTACTTGCTGATAGTCTAGCACAGAGAGCTTCTGGTGTGTCTTCTATTGCTGTGATTCAGAGGATGGCAGAAATTTGTCAGTGCTAAAAAAATCTCCGTAGCAGGCTCAGTTTATCATCTAGAGTAACTGTATTCCTTCCCACCCCTTATCTGACTTGCTGTTATTAGAACAGGGTTTCTTTAAACCATTTCTCAGCTGAGAAAGACATTAATGTGATTGGCATCAGAAAAAAATGTAAATTTCATGAGTCTCCTTGTATAACGAATGCCAGAAGTTCCCTTGCATTTTTTCTGCATAATCACAACTCTTTCACCTCCTAAATAGCCCACTGAATGGAGGTTGGAGAACACCATTCTGTCTTTCATTGGAGATTCACTAAATTCAGTATGGATACTGAGCTGTCATTTTTTGACATAATTTTCCCATTGACTCTGGCTATATTATCCAAGAAGACATGTTGGCAGCATTGCAGTCCCCCATTGGCCTTGGGCTGATGTTCCAGAACTCAAGAGTTGTTACCCTGGTGACTGAAACAAATAGAAACGTTTCAGCTCTTAAGAGTTTTCCTATGCTTTTTGTTTGTTTAAATTCTGTTTAAGACAAAGTTTGACCTTTGCTCTGGACTAATAAGCTCTGCAGTTGGGAGGTCAAGAGTCCAGAGAGTCATGAAATACTCAGAGCACAAATCACAAAGGTAGGCCTGATACCTTGTTTGGAAAATGTATACATTCTGAAACTGCTCAGATTACTAAAAATTGAGTACATAGAGATTGAGGGTTCTTGGAGGAAAGTATTGTTTGTTACCAACAACCAACCTAATTCCAAAAGTTTATCAACATTTTTACATTAAATAGCCAATATCCTAGATAATGTAATTTCAGAAACATTCAGTAGTCAATTAAAATATTTATTTTAGTGGTTTAATAGGAACACAGTTCTCTAGGATCTAAATGTCAAATAAAGTAAATAATCTATCTATTAC